AGGCTGGCCAGGCAGCCAGTACTCACAGCCGCCGGGTCCAGGCCCAGCAAGGCCTCATGCTGGCAGCTGATCTCCTGTGAGGCAGGAACACGTGCGCTGTTTAGCTTGTGGGCCTTGGACCTCCCTTCCCACTGAGGGCTTCCTTCACCATATAGAGATGACAGCACTGACCTGGGTGGTGTTATCGCCACATTTCTCTGTAATTACTAACAAATTTTCCCTTGGTAATCAAATTGCTCAGAGGAGGAAATGCCCTTTTACTTTTACACTTAGAATCCAGAGATCAACTTAAAGCAAGAAAAATACTAGCAACGCATAAAGATTTCTTTCTATATACATTCTGTATATCCAAACAACAATTCCAATTGCTGGGAATACTTAGCCTGACCCAGCAATAAAAGAGCAGAAACACAGCGACTTCATATCCAATCACCAAGAAGTGAGTGAATCCATCAGTCCACTAATCCATCAACCCCTCTTTCTTTCCCATCTTTTCTACCCAGGGCCTAACTCGTTCAGTAATAGAGGATTGCAGAAACTATTACAATGACCTTTACTTTTAACTCTAAATTTGAGAGTCCTAAATACACCAAAGTTATGAAAAATAACCCCCAAATCGACAGCATGACAGTACTGCCATAAAGCAGTCTTCAGGTGTGTATATGGGCTGCATATGTGTCTGTGCACACACCTTGCAAAGTCAGGCTCCCCGCCTGTCTGCGTCAGCCCCTTCCCGTCCCCTCGTACTGCACTGTGCACAGACCAATACCTGGACAAGCTACCAAAGTCAACTTAAGTCCGACTTTAGGAGTAATGGAAGGACCCAAGCAATCACACAAACGTGCTTGTCATGCTGACCAGTGGCGTGTGTAGTGGACGCGGCAGTTGGATGCATACGGCTGACTACAGGGTTCAACTCCTGGCCTAGTGGCTCGAGAAACATGGTGGTACGTGGGCATGTGTGCCCAAAATCCAGAGACGAGGGAGAAACTGAGAAGGGACTACCCTATGACTATGCCCGTAGGCTGCTTTCTCATTGTCCTCTTTCCTTTTCTATCTCTATGGCCTTAGAAGGAGCTAGTGGCACACAGAAAGAAAACCAAACACAAAAACACAACAAAAGTCCTGTCTCAGGGAAATCTTAGATTTTGAGACATCACTCTGAATCGGAGAGGGAAGCCCACAGTAAGATTCAGAATTGCTCTCTTGTTCCTTACTTATTGCCAAAGGGCACGTGCACTCATTAAAGACAGGGCCAGAGAAAAAGCATCCCCAGTGTGGTGTGGTTATGCCCAATCCTTCTCCCCTTGTTTCCCGTCCTGCCAGGGTCTGGGACACACATGCACAGGCATTTGGCATGTTTTCCAAGCCACTGGGCCTGGCATCTGGCTGGCCGTGTGGAAACTCCCTGTGTGTAACACTGAACCACTGCTACAGAGCCAGCCCAGGACAGAATGTTTTTGAGTAAATATACATTGAAAATTTCAAGTAACCTTGTTCAGCATATCTGGGGTGCCTTCGAGGGTCTAGGCCCAGTGGCGCAGAATGCTGTTCCTGACTGAGGCTGTAACCTCATCTGTGCTGTGTGACCGGCAGTCTTACGTGGAATGGTTCCAATGAATAAATGACTATCATTGGGATATCATTCCTTTACATGTAAATATTTGCATAATTTAAATGAGTTCTTTAAGGTTATTTGCAAGATGAACTACTCTGTTCAATCCTGTTTACAGTATCATTTTATACTGTATAAACAATGATTTGCTAAGCAAAAGATAAACTTTTAGTTATATAAACTTTTACTTTAGTCATCATTTCAAGAACAAGAATCTGCGTAAATACTGGGCCAAACGTACTAGATGACATGGGGAAGAGAGAAACCGCAGCCCCAGATACGGGCCCCCACAGAGTCATCCTAACAAACACGGCCAACTGCAGGCTCTGATCTGCACACAGGCTGCAGGTTCGAAGTCAGCGGCAGTCAGTCGGCTCTGGAACTTATTTATGAACTCAATGATGGTTAATGACTCTCCTAAACAGTACCGAAAAACTAGTCTTTTATAAATGTTAGGTCAAAACTAGGAAGATTTTAAAAATCACTTCAGGATACAAAGTAATGAGGAACTTATTCTGAAATATTAACTGACTCAATACAATTATTCAAACTTCTTGAGTGTGGCAAGGAGAAAAACAATGAAGGAATAATATTTATAATTTACAAACCAATAAAAACAGAATATATATATTTATATATATATATATGTATACTATATATAAAATTAATGATTAATTTATATATGTATATATACATATATATGTACACACACACACACACATACTTAGAAACTATACAGTTCCATGTAAAATGAACAGAAGAAACTAAGAACTTTATTTAAAAGAATTATTACTTGATAAATTTATAGACCAATGCTACCAATAAAAAATATTAAAGAATAAAATTTCATAGGACTGGCTTCATAGGCAGGGGGTTGAGACAGCCAGATACCACGTGGCCAACTAGCAGTTTGAGTCCTGGACCTGGTGGCTTGGAAAACATGCCGGGAATGTGTGCATGTGCCCAGAGTCCTGGCAGGACAGAGAGGTGGATGAGAAGGGACTGCAGTGTGACCACCTGCCATACAGGATGCTTTCTCCTCTCTCTCCCTCTTTCTGTGCCTCTCTGGCAAGAGCGTGTATCCTCCAGCAAACAAATAAAATGAAATTTCTTAATTACTTCTGAGATGCTGCTGGATACAAAAATACTAAAAAATGAATCAAAGAGAATTTTCTAGTAAGGAATCTGTAATGGAAAGGCACAGGAAATGTTTCTTACACGAAGCACTCATCTTCTGACATGGATCTTCACGCGGTAGCTGGGTGTACACCTATACGAGCTTCTTTGTGCACAATGCCTTGCCTAAGAGGACCTCTTGGACCGCCATGACACCCCCCACCCTGACCAAGGGGGCTCTATGTGATCACTGGGTCGTTTCTCCCTCACACTCATACTTCTACACAAGAGGGCCTCTAAAAAGCTCATGGAAACTGTGCATAATGAAAAAAGGATGGATTTTATCCTTGGATTTCAAAACGTTTTCGCACCAAATCAAACTCATACTTTAATTCCTTTCTCTGCAAACTTTCTGAAGCCTCAGTATTGTTTCACCTTTTTCATGACCTGGTCACCTGTCTGGAAGGCATGCTCTAGGACAGGGGACTTGGCCTCTTCATTGCCACCCTCTTTGAAGGACAAAACCAGAGGTAAGTGAGAATCTGTTGAGGTGCCGTGTAAGAAAACAGTTATAGAGATGCAGGGTTCAGTCAAAACACAGAAGAGATACGCTTATTACAAAACTACACCTTCATACCAAGTTTGATTTTCAATTATTCTGTCATATAGAAGCTTTCTATAGGGAAAATTACAAATAAATGATAGCTCCCACTTGAGAAGAAGAAACCCAAACAGCCCAATTCCCTATGAAACACTGTGAGGACAAGAGTGTCGGCGTGGGCAACGAGGCTGTTGAAGCCAAAATGTGAGGCCAAGGCAGACAGTGCGCTGTCTGAGCGAGCGTGCACAGACTTTTTACCTGGATGCAGGAGACAAAGGGTGGAAAGAAAAAGAACGTAGTGCTAAGACAATGATTGAGGTCTTGGAGCAACTTCTGCGTGATGCTGTTTTTTTCAGATGTCGTCTTTGATTTATCCATCTCTTTCAGAATCCCAGAAAACAAGCTGCTAAACAGCTGTTTAGCAATTATGGGATCTTTCTGTAAAAAATTCAAAATAAAAACAAATTATGTTCTGAACTAAAAATGCTGTAACTCACCAACATTATCGGAATTTGATTTGAAAATATAAACTGTTATGAACCCATCCATTATATATCTCAATTCTGTGTAGAAAGCTTTAACAGATAACCACATAGCTTGTACCGAGTCAAGTCTAGGCCCCTAATTCCTCATCTCCAGAAGGAGCCCAGCAAGCTGCAGCTCAACGGGCTGTGGTAAAGATGAGCCAAAATGATCACGCCACGTGCTTAGTGCAATGCTCTCAGACAAAGACAAGGGTGGGCTTACAGGTGTTACCCTTGAACCATCATCTTGGTAAAGCGTAAAAAACAACAACTGATGGGCTTAAATAAAATGCCAACTTTAGGAACCTGCAGATGGCGTAATGGTTATGTTGCTAGACTCCCACATGGTCGACTATGATTCAAGTCCCAGACCTGGCAGTTTAAAACTCACGCCAGATGCATGTGCGTACGTGCCCCCAAATCCCAAGAGAACGGAGAAGGAATTACAGAATGGCCAACCCTCCTGGAGGGCATTTCTCTCTATTTCTCTGTCTCTCTGGTGAGCACATGTGCCCTACAGCAAAAATCTTTCTTTAAAAAAAAAAATTAATTGCAAAGTCCTCTTATGAAAATGCTGAAGACCCTGATGGCATTTCTGTTTTTAACAGGAAGTGACCTGATCTTTGTGGCTTTACTCTCACATGCCCAATGACCACAGGAACATGACCTGTAGCTGTGTCTGAAACACCAGTACCAAGAGCAGTCGTTGGTACATCGCTGGCACACGGTGTTTATATCTGTCAGGTGAAGGCATATATGCAAGAAATATAAAACTTTAAATTACTTTAATAAAAGCTACATTTAAATAAAACATAAGCATTTGGTATGTTTTTTGTTGCTTAAAGTATGCATTTATCTTTTTATAAAAACTATAATATGGGCTCAGCCAGGTGGTGTGGTAATTAAGGTGTGGAACCACATGACTGACTGAGCCATTTGTGTTCCAGACTTGGTGGCTTAAAAAAACACCCCAAACCGTAGGTGTATGTGCTCAAAATCCTGAGAGGAGAGTGGAGAAGGAACTGCAGCCTACTCATCCCGAGGGACGCTCTCTCTTTCTTCCATTTGCTCTCTCTGGCAAGTGTACATGCCCTATAGCAAAACTAGAAATTAATAAAAATAACGTTATAAACATGGGCTGGCCCCTTGGTGCAATGCTTAGGTGCTATGCATTGGGAGCCAGATCCACAAAGTCAACCATGATTTGAGTCCAGGTCCCAGGAACTTGAAAAACATGCCCAGTGCACGCACGCACATGTGTGTGTGTGTGTGTGTACATGTGCGCGCCTGTCCCAAAATCTTGACAAGAAAGAAAAATCAAGGAAAATTACTGTAGCATGACTTTACCTTTTGGGGATTCTCTCTCTCCCTCTCCTTGGAGAGCACATGTACCCTGTGTCAATTAAAGTAAGTTATAGGGATCTTCACCTTAGCCTCTGTTGGGCCTCTGGATTCAGCTCAAGGCCCTAAAGCCTCTTTCCGCCAGGGAACCCACTCCGGACCCCCATGTTGGCCAGGCAGGCCAGCGCTGCCCCCCTTCACTGTCCTTTCTTTTTTTCCCTCTTTCTAAAAAAACAGTGTTTCTGCCCTGCTTGTGCCTTTCTCTTGTTAATTTCTCTCTTCTTCCCCTATCCAGGGTGGAAAGCAGCCAGGCATCTTCACCTGAGCCTCTGGTGGCACCGCGTGGTTTTCCATTTTTAACCCAATCTCATTTTCCGCAAATCCATTTGTTTTTCTTTTTAGTTGTTTTCTCTTTTTATTCTAGTACTTTCCTTTTGTTCTTTGTCTTTTTCTCCCTATTTCTATCACCTATGTTGTTTTTCTTTTACCTTAGTTTCCTGTTTACTGTTCAGCCTTTACCCACTGCCTATAGACGACTAGGTGTATAGTAGCTAAACAGCTGAACATTGTGAGTTTCAGAGAATTCTTTGCACCTCACTGTACTGGTTGCAAAAATAGTGAAATACTCCTTCAAAAGTAAAATTGCAAAACTCCTCCGGTGATTCGCATTGGAGGACACAGCAGGAGGGAGAAAATAGCACCAAAACATTTCACAGGTGGGGAAACACACAAGCTCACAGTCAGAGAATTCTCCAACATATTGGACAGAAGTGAGTACATTACTAAATGACAAAAAAAAATCAAAGAAAAGCCTCAAGAATGAGAGAATCGGGACCGGAAGTTGGCGTAATGGCCATGTCACTGGACTCCCACATCGCTGACCACAGTTCGAGTGCCAAACCCAGTGGCTTAAACTCACGCCAGGCGTGTGTGCGTGCATACCCAAGATCCTAAGAGGAGACTGAAGGAGAAGGGACTGTGGAATGGCCATCCCACCTGAAGGGTGAATTCTTCCTTTCTGACTCTCTGTCTTCCTGGTGAGCGAACAGGCCCTATAGCAAAAACCTCTCCAAAAAAAAATGAATGAGAGAACCAAGCAGTACATCTCTAGCAAGGGACACTGTAACTTGTCTCCAAGTAGGGAAAAATGAGAGAGTACTACCAAAATGTCAGAAAAAGAATTTAGAATATTTATAATAACAAAATTCTTTCTTTTTTTTTTTTTTTTTTTGAGAGGTTTTTACTATAGGGAGCGTGTACTCACCAGAAAGACATAGAGAGACAGAGACAGAAAGCGAAAAATCATCCCCCAGGGGAATGGCCACACCACAATCCCTTCTCCTCCATTCTCCTCTCAGGATCTTGGGCACACATGCACATGCACCTGGAGTGAGTTTTAAGTCACCGGGTCTGGGACTCGAACCGCAATCGACTACATGGGAGTCCCGCGACATAGCCATTACACTAACTGCTCGTCCCTATAATAACAAAATTCTATGAGAGGCAAGAGAAAAGAGACGTTGAGCTCCAAGAGATGAGGAACTGTTTCCATGATATGAAAGAAGAATTGGACACTATAAAAAAGAATCAGGGACCAATCAAGAGACACAGACAGGATTAAAAACCAGAAACTCTCCATCTACTGCCTACAAGAAACCCGTCTCATGGATAAAGATATACATAAACTAAAAGTGAAGGGCTGCAAAAGGTATTCCATGCAAACAGAAACCAAAAAACGGCGGGAGTCGCTATACTGATTTCAGACAACATAGGCTTTACTACAAAAAACAGAAAAGACAAAGAAGGGCATTACACAGTAGTAAAAGGGCTAATTCAAGAAGATATTACGCTTATAAATATCTATGCACCCAACTCAGGAGCACCCCAAATATGTAAAGGAAAGACTGCTAGATCTAAAAGGAGAGATAAGACTGTAACACAATCATTGTTGGGGATCTCAACACCCATTGTCTCTTTTAGACAGGTCAATGAGACAAAAAACAAGCAAAGAGATTTAGGACCTTAACGATACCATACATCAGGTGGACTTGATAGACATCTATAGAACTTTCCACCCAAAAAACACAATATATACATTTTTCTCAGCTCCACATGGTACTTTCTCAAAGACTGACCACATCATAGGGCATAAAAGCAGCCTTTACAGATTCAAAGGCATAGAAACTATATTCAGCATCTTCTTTGACCATGATGGAATTGGTCAGGAATCATCTCAGGAAAAAAACTCGAAAATACACAAATACATGGAAACGAAACCTACTTCTGAATGACTTTCATGACTACTGAAGAGATTAAGACTGAAATCAAAAGATTCACAGAAACAAATGATAGTGAGTACACAAGTTGCCATCATTTATGGGACACTGAAAAAGCAGTCATGAGGGAAGTTCATAGTTATTAGTGCACACAAGAAAAAGATGGAAAGGTGACAAAAGGACAACCTAATATCATGCCTCGGGGAATTGCAAAAAACAACAAAATCAAAAAAGTGCCAGGAGAAAAGAAGTAATAAAGATTTGAGCAGAAATAAATGAAACAGAAAATAAGCAAACTATACAGAAAATAAATTAAAGCAAAACTAGTTCTTTGAAAAGATAAACAAGATTGACACATCATTAGCTAGACTAATTAAGAAGAGAGAAAGAAACCATATAAATCAAATTCACAATGAATCAGGCAACATTACAATAGACATAACAGAAATACAAAACATCATTAGAGGATAATATGAGCAACTATATGCCAACAAAGAAGAAAATCTAGACGGACAAATTCCTGGACACATACTCTACCAAGATTGACTCAAGAGGATATCGAAAGCCTGAATAGGCACATAACAAGCAAGGAAACTGAATCAGTAATAAATAGCCTCCCAACAAAAAAAGCCCAGGTCACGATGGCTTTACTGCTGAATTTTACAAAGTTTTTAAATAAGAGGTAACCCCCATTCTACTCACACTGTTTCTAGAGATCCAGAAGGAAAGAACCATTCCTAATTCGTTCTATGAAGCCTCCATTACCCTGATTCCAAAACAGATAAAGATACAACAAAAAGGAAAACTACAGACCTATCTTTGATGAATATAGATGTAAAATTTCTCAACAAGATACTTGCTAACTGTATTCAACAGCATATAAAAAAGGTTATTCATCACAACCAGGTAGGCTTTATTTCAGGAATGCAAGGGTGGTTCAACATACATAAAACCGTAAGTGTAACACATCATATCAATAGAAAGAAAGATAAAAAACCATATGATCATTTCAATCAATGCTTGAAAACCATCTGACAAAATACAACACTCCTTTATGAATAGGACTCTCCGTAATACTGGCATAGAAGGATCATTTCTCAGCTTAATAAAAGCCATCTATGAAAAACCTATAGCTGACATTATACTGAATGGAGAAAGGCTGAAAGCTTTTCTACTAAAAACTGGCACAAGACAAGGCTGCCCACTTTCTCCGTTCCTATTCAATATAGATCTGGAAGTCCTAGCCAGCGCAATCAGGAAAGAGAGGAAAATAAAAGGCATTCCAATAGGGGGGAAA